CTTTCTTTGTTTTTTACTTCTTGTTTAAATAGTTTAACAGAGAAGTAAAGTTGATTTTGAAGACGTTCTGGTAGAGAAAATTAATGACTGAACGTTGCATTTGTGTTTCGTTAGAGGAGAGGCTCATCATAACAAAATACGCATATAAGCTAAATTGAAGTAGTCGAAATACGCATATTTTTAACGTACTTGAACAAATACTGTATTCGTACTCTTTAATTAATTTAAAAGGGAAAGTTTATTATTGAATTACGTGCATCGCACATTCAGCCGTGGCCTTGGCTCGATATCAGAGTGACGAAGGGGACACAAGCAGAAATTCATAAAGCTGGTACTACTATTGGAGAAAAAGGGAAGTACGTGCACGTGACCGTCGATCCCACTAGTCACTGGATGTCGTTGATTGGTTGGTTGTCTTCCCTCTGGTCTGTATTTAGGGGCAGTATTACATGAACCACAGACTTCTACGTGCCCATTTAACCCATTGTCTTGCATAAGGTATCATATTCTGGTAAAAAAAAACTGTTTTTTCGATAAGTTTATCTCTTCAATTAGAAACACAAAATGATAATAATTTCACGAATAAGCGTTGCTAGATTTTATTTTCATTTGTTAATAATGTACAATACGAATCGTCATAAATATAATTAAATCGCTTAAAATAGAGGCTATACACGTGTTTCTGCATCTATTGTGTATTTGTATAGAAAGTATTGAATAACATAAAAGATGATAACGTTTGCTTTCTGTACGCGAGGAAGTATGTTCACTGAAATACTATCGTTCTATAGTGTTTTTTATGTAAATATTAATATTTCTTAATTCCAGCAACGACAAAAAATTCTTTCACCTTGTATGTATAGAAAAGAATAACAACAAACAACATATTTCGTCCGAGCGTGACCCAATAATTAACGTGTTAGTCCGCAGATCGAAGATGCCAAGGTTTGAGACCCGATACTCTGAGCATGCTTCGCACTTTCACTTATGTATATGGATAAGTCTTTCTTGCGCAAATGCTAAAATTCGGGTTTCGACACTCGCGATTAGCGGAGCACAGATAATCCATTGTGTACCTTTATACTTAAACACAGTCAGTTCAACCTCCCACAATGTATTATAATATATATAATCTATGTATTAGAAATAACATTATTTACCTACAAAAAACGATTACCAGTAAGGCACTTTTTGACAACGTAACACCCCATCATTTGTTTGGTGTTTTTATTATTATGACACCTATCTGTTAAATATAGAACATAACTTGAGACCTTTACTCTCCCCTAATATACATTTTGTTTGCTTTTTGAACTTGACGCAAAGTTACACAAGGGCTATCCGCGCTAACCTTCCCTACTTTAGCAGCGATGGACTAGAGGGAAGGCATCTAGTCAAAACCACCCACCACCATCTCTTGGGCTACTCTTTTACTAATGAATAGTGTGATTGAACCCATGGATGAAAGAATTAGCGTGTTCGGTGACGGGGATTCGAACTCGCGACCTCCAGCATGCTAGTCAAGTACCTTAACCACCAGGCCTTAGTATTTATTATGACTTTTATAAAAGACATCACAGGGTTTTGTCTGGATTTTGGTCATTTTTTCTCCATTATTTTGGCTTTTTCAGATGTTTCTCAGTCACAGATTTTAAGCCAATATTCCACGTTAATTCCAAACTAGCTATTTTTACCATTTGAACTGTTTTTATATTCAAAATATTATAGAATCATTACTTTTTAATTTTATTAAGTTTATTTATTGTAATTTACAAAGAAAAATTTGAAAAAAAAGTTAAACTATTTTGATTAATTTTGGCGCAACTCCGAGAAGTGTCATCTATTAACAATGCAGTTGTCTTTTTCTCCTTAGTTTCCACTTTTTTATGTTACATCAAGTGGTTTGATCATTTACTAATGAAATAAAGTTTTAGAAAAAGCTATGAAGAGTGATAAACTTTGGGTTCGCGCTTCGCATTTTGGAGCCGTGGGTGCGTTATAAGAATGTCTAATCCCACTGTTCGATTAGAGTAGCCCTTGAGTTGGCGGTGGATGGTGTTGACTAGATGCCTTCCCTCTAGTCTGTCACTTCAAAATTAGAGACGGCCATTGTAGATAGCCCTCGAGTAGCTTTTCGTGAAAGTCAGCAAATAAAAGAACAACATCCATAAAGAAGTTTTAAATATGACTGGATAGAGCTAGAATTTTTCACGCTATAGCAGAGTAAATAAAGTGGTGTGAATAGCAGATGATAGTTGGCGCTTCTGTAGCATTGACCAACTGTACTGAATAGAAAGTTCTGAGTAAACAACCACAGAGGTGGACATTTTTTTATAGTTTCTTTCGACTTTTTTTCTGTCATGAAGATTTTTGCGTGTTAATTATATTTGTTTGGAAGCTGCAATTTTTTTTTTCAATGAAAATACATTAGGTAAGATTTATTAGGGTTAGTTGAGTACGGGAAGCGATGGTAAAACATTCTGATCACTCAAGACTTAATTTTTTATATTATTTTAATGTTTATCGTGTTCAAACACGCATAAATAAATTATTTCTCATTGTAAAAGTAACATTTTTTAAATATAAAAATACATTACTACCGCTATCAGTGACAATAAAACGTATTCTTATTATGTGATTATTAATTTGTTTGATTTACACGTGATCAATGGGAATTACTGCTTATTTTAAAATCAAAATGGCGACGGCCAGCGTAAACATTATATCACATGTATAATTTAATCCCAATTTTCGAGGATATTATATCGTAACTTTTCCAGCTGTTCTGTTTAGTTTCTTATCTCAAATTATAAGATTTGATTTTAGTTATTTTATTATTGAGGAGTGATGAGTAGGTACAACGTCAGACATAACCAAGCAGGGAATTATTTTAGTATTTTACAAGACCGTCAATTTACCTTGCCCAAAGTGCTAATTAAATTACGAGTTTCTTGTATTTTGAACTGTACTGATATTTTTTTTACAATACTTCAGCGTCTGCATCGAACATGATATGGTCATGATAACTTAAAAATATTTGTTCAAACTCCTTTACATTTAAAGGCTTAGAAACTTTAACTTTGACGAGCCTACATCGAATTGGTCATTTAGTTTAAAAACCGAGGGTTAAAAAAAAAGAAGCATAGACTGAAATCGCCCAATGTTGCTTCAAGAAGTTTTCCCAATTCGTTAGGTAACATGGTCGTTCCTCTGTACGGTGTGAAGTTACAAGATAAAAATTTATTATGTGAATTCGTTATACTTCAAACTGATTGCTACGTAGATGAGCTAAAATCACAGCTATCATTAAAGGAAGGCACAGCGGAGAGTCTGCGGATTGATAACGCTAGAAACTGGGTTTCGGTACCAGCGGTGGGCGCAGCACAGGTAGCTCATTGTGTAAATTTGTGCTTAACTACAAAAAAACAATTAAAGAAATACATTAGTGAATATTCTATCTAAAACTGGACTTAGAACCCATTTTGAATAAATTCGGTTTCTATGTAGCTATATAGACTTTGGATTCAATTCTTGGTTTATTTTTTCAAATTTAAATAGACGGAATAGTTTTCGTACGAACATTTCATGGAGCTCTAGAAAACGTTTTCAAAAATTTAACAACACTAATAATTTTGGATTATATCACATATGTCATATATGCTTTTATCAGTAAATTTTATTTGCATGATACCAAAAACTATTAAACTTTCTGCAGTAAACTAAGCGTTCTCGGCAGTGGGAGTGTAAATCACAGTTTTAGCCGCCACGTGCTGCATTTCTTTAAAAAGCTTGCAATGGCCCAGAATACATCTTAAGTTTTCACTAAACATTAATTCAATATTCTAGTGTGATAAAGTAGTAGCTCACGCCTGTGGCTCATTTTCAAGATGTATGGCCACATCTATTATCCGACCTGAAAATACCCAAATCCTATGGATATCAGGAGTCGTTTAACCGATATCCAACCAAACTAATGTTTCCCCACATAAATCAAAAGCGCACATTATACAGCGAACAGTAATAAGACTAACCAAAACAAATAAACATAACACTTTTGTGAAGAATAAAAGCAAGCTGTCCCCCGAAATGTTGGCTCAGTTATCGCTTCTGAATTAGTTATTGACTAAACGTTTTCTTTACTTTACCTTTTTACCAATTTAACCATGTTTTTTTTTGTTGTTGTTGCTTTTAACAAACTTGTTACCACCGTACTTTTATTCTAATATTTAAATGTACATACCTGTTTCTACTTAACTTGTTTAATTTGATGAATTAGAGAAAACGCCATTGTTAAAGAAACAAGTATATACAACCAAGGAAAAATAATGGGATTAGTTTAATTGATGTAATCTCTTAATTACTATTTTATCTGGCATGGTAGTTAAGACGCTTGACTCGCAATCTGAGGGTCGCAGGTTCGAATCCCCCGTCACCGAACATGCTCGCCCTTTCAGCCGTGGGGACGTTATAATGTGACGGTCAATCCCAAGAGTTGGCGGTGGGTGGTGTTGACTAGTTGCCTTCCCTCTAGTTTATCACTGTTAAATTATGGACGGTTAGCGCAGATAGCCCTCGTGAAGTTTTGCGCATAGTTAAAAAAAAAAAACTTCAATCGTACGTTTATGTACTTGTACTCAAATGTGAGTGCGTATGTTTAATGTAGTGTTGGATAACGTTTCAGGTCAAATTCCTTAACATTGTCTAAGATTTAGAATAATAGTGTTATCTTAAATAATAACATATATTTTTCCTCTTTTTTTTTTTTGATATAGTTGCAACAAAAATGTAACGTAATCAAATTTCACGTAACAATGAAGTAGACTAAAATGTGCATGGTAATCCTAATGAGAAGTATACATATAACGACGATCATTAGTAGAGATATTAGTAGAGTAAATAGTTTGTTTTTTATCTTCTTTCTTACATACCATTTGTGTATATAGGTTAGTGCCTGTTTGATAAATGTGAATTTAAATGATGTTTTGATATTCTACTTTTAGGTAACTCAGACAATCAATGTAGATGCGGACGACATGTTGTGTGATTCAAGAGCTCGAGGTATTAAACGGAAATATGGTGACGACAAAGAGTGTGAATTACCTTCTTCGCTCTACTTAACCCAGCGTCAGGAGGTGTTCAGTATCAGTTTGTGTAAACGAAACAAACTCTTGCATACTCTAAGTCTGAGACAATCCGTTCTCATCTGTAACACTCTACGGAAAATCCAAAGAGAATTTGATCAGGAAGGAATAGAAATTAACTGTGCTTCTAATGGACATTTTATTATGTCCTCTGTAAACCCACAGATCATGACTCTTGACCCACCACCGATTCCAAGCCAAACCAAATTAGGATGTTGCCCACAGAAATTTTCAGAGAACACTGACTATCATGAGATAGAACCAAACCTTCTTCAAACATGCCCCACTGATACGTCGCAGCCAAAAGCGTATTCAGTTAATAGCTACTCCTTGAAATCTACTTTATTAACTGCATATCAAAATAAACCGCCGTCACAGGCAGAGGAGCAGCTTACTAGGAAGCTGCATGATAGCTCTTTAGTGAACAGCTCCTTGCCCAAGACCTGCACAACAACAACAACAGTGGAAATCGTACAGAGGCAGAATGGTAATACATCCGCTGAAGAGTGTGACAGATATCTGACGGAGTTCGATACGCCCTCTGGAAGGATAACGCCTTTTGTAAAGACATTACATAGTTCTAGTGCAGTTTGGAATGATGACAATGACGGACTAAGGAGTTTGAACTGGAGCTCAGTACTTAATTGTAATTCCTCATCAACTAGTGCTGCCATTAGTACTTTAACAACGGAAGAAGAACTTGGTGACGATTGCCGATGCGTACACAGTTCTGCATCAAGCGAATCATCTGGAGTATTCGAAACGTCCTTACACACACTTCTACCTGCCACTTGTAGCCCCACGTCAGAATTAAGTTTAAATTTCTCTCATCTAACTTTGCCCTCATGTTCCAGTCCAGACTCTAATTCTGGAAGTACTTCCAGCTCTAACTCAGGGTATGAAATATTTGGTGATATAGACATGTCACTTTACGACTTTGATCTTTACTCACCTTTGTCCACCCCGAATGTAAAACTGGCCCCGGTTAGTGCGGAAGAGCTTATGACGTCACTTACATAAAATGGTCAGTCAGGTATAGTGGCTGACTTGAGAGAAAAGAGAAATGAAGACGGAAACTCCAGTGGTCTCATAATGTTTGAAAGACAGGATAGTCACTTGCATCGAATCTTTTTTTTTAATCACCTTTTCAGTGTAGTGCGTGTAGCCTTTCTGAACACATGAATCTTTTTCATTTCAAAAGCTGTGTTAATGAATACAAATAATAGTTTTTACTGGTTAGCTGCGGTTAATTAACAGAAAGCAAGAATTACATTGTAAATTAACTTGTTTTTTAACTTAGATGTTACAAAAATTCAAAAGAAAGTTCCTCGTGTCACAAATTCAACTGTAAAAATATATCTTTGTACTAAAAACGAATGCTTTATTCTCTCGATGTCGTGCAAAACACTGGTTTACTTGTATTCATAATTAAATCATGAGCCTTGGATTAATATAGGGACCAAATCTGAAACTCCCAGGTGGCTCAGCGGAAAGCCTCGAAAAATAGGTTTCGATACTCGTGGTGAGCAGAGCGCAAATAACCCGTTGTGTAGCTTTACCCCCCCCCCCCCCCACTTAAGTTTTGATATAATAATTGGAAAGTTGTTATAGGCTGTGGGGTGCTGTTCCAATAAGTGGTTTTTAATTATGTATACTTATAGATGAAACTAAAAATGGACTCTTACAATATTTATTTTTTAAGTTGACGAAATTTGTTCAGTAGGTCACCTAAGGTTTTTCACATAAGTAGAAGCCACATTTTGCCTTAAAACTTAAAGGTGCAGTTTTGTTCTTTCTTCTTTTTTTTTTCTTATTATATCGTTTGTTAAAATACAAAATCTGTCACGCAAGTTTAAGGTTTTTAAAATTCCACCAGGATGTGCTGCATTTATAACGAACAGTAATGTTGTTTTCGAAGTAATTGTGCTATCGATGCAGTGACATACAGACCCCCAAGTATCTTATTTCTTAGTCGAAGTTTATTTTCAATGAAATTAAGAGTAGCCTTCCCAGGTTATATAATTTGGACACATCTTTTGGATGACGTTTCATCCATTGCCACTCTTCTTCACTAGTTTAATTTTCAGATGTAAATTGGATGCCTATTTTACCATATAAACTGCTTAATTTTTTTATATCGCTGATAAAGGATACTTGTTTTGCAATCAACTAATCACTAGTTAATTTTACTCGCGCATACGCAGCGAAACTGCTATATACTTAAATGTTAATATAGGTGCGTGTGGGCGCTACATTATTTTTCTGATAGATAGACAGTTAATTTTTAACAAAAAATAAATAAAAGTTAAAACTTGATCCCATTTAATCATGACTAACTCACTATGTTTCTTAATGCACTTAAAAAAGCACAACACATGTAATTGACTAGTTGTTTCGTTTAACATACGTGCTTATTATATATGTTCAGCCAAAGATATTACTAAAAAAAATGTGCATTATATTTCGTCAAAAGAGTTTTTGGTTTAGTTTCAGCAGTGCAAATGTAGTTATTATCTGCTCGGGAAGAGTGCACTAGTGATGTATTTAATATAGGAGGAATGTGGCTTTGAGAGCGTTGTGTTGTGTGGTCTTGGTGAGAAAGTAGAGGCGCTGCTGTCGTTTTGTAGATATACATATGCGTGTATGTATTTATCATAATATATTCACATTTGTTTACAGTTTATTATATATATATATATATATATATATCATTGTGTCATTAAACGTCACTTCATCACAGAGACGGTGATCGTCTACTCGACCAGAAGCAGTTAACACGTTTATATCTGTATGAAAATCCTACAACACGAGATTAAAGTATCACAAGTATTTTTGTATATCAGTATAAAATGACTGATTGTTGAAAGATGTATTCAGATATTTCTCGTGAGTTTAAATGTTGGTTTTTGCTCTAAATTAGTCGGTGCTACAGGTTGAACTTGGCTCGATGGGCCTTTTTTGTCCATTATATTAATATTGGATTTGATTGTTTATTGATTCAGTATTCCAAAACATATGTAAAGATGATTATTTTCAAAGTAAAAATAAATCTTTTCAGGGATGGAAAATCCTCAAGGAAGAATATAGGTGATTGACATGAGATTCATCTTTAATCTGAACTATATGCATGCAACACAGAAGCAGTTCAATACCTTCATATACAGTACATGGACTTAGAACAATGGAATAATAAGTATTGTTTGTATTGTCAGAATCTTCTATTTAACATCGCCAGGTGGTTAGGGAGCTGGACTCGCAATCTGAGGGTCGCTGGTTCGAATCTCTGTCCCACCAAACATTCTCGCCCTTTCAGCCATGGGGGCTTTATAGTGTGACGATCAATCCCACTATTCCTTGGTAAAAGAGTAGCCCAAGAGTTGGCGGTGGGTGGTGATGACTAGCTGTCTTCCCTCTAGTCTTACACTGCTAAATTAGGGACTGCTAGCGCAGATATCCCTCGTGTAGCTTTGCGCGAAATTCAAAACAAACAAAACCAAATAACAAGAGTCGAAGACAAAATTTTTTCTCACGGAGATTTAAAAACGCAAGCAGAACTTTTTTGTGTGTTTTATAAGCTAGGGTACGTTATGGGTTATATTTATCTTCACATAATCAACAGTATATGCTTCTAACAACATTATTCCTATTGGGATTGTCACGTATGACTGGACTGTACGTCCATCATGGAGTAAATCAGCTGTTGTAAACTGTTCTTATGGGAAAATGACGGCATATTTTATACTTAATTCAAATCCGATAAACCGTCCAATTTTTAAATATAGTATTATGGACCATTATGAAAATTCTGTGGTACTGAAATGAAAAGAAAGAAAATATATTATTAAAACACCACGGGTTACATAAATTGTAAGGAGACACGCGAGTGCGCCATAATATTGAGGTTACGGCTAGTGTAGAAAATTGCATGGTTTGTGTGTTTCGGCCAGTTGCGGTAATACTTATTTACGAGGAATACCAGAACACAGTTTATACTAACACGTGGTGTATCGAGGGACAAGAAAGAGTATTAGATATTGAATGTCATAGTAGAGTGTGAAGACGTTATGGCTCAGCTAAACAAGGACACTTAGGATACATATATAGCCATCCATAATTTTGAACTAGTGGTCAGAGGGAAGGAAGCCAGGAACATCTGCCGCTACAAGGGCTTATCCAAACAAATAATGGGATTCACTGTCACTTTTTTTTTATAATGCGTCCGCAGCTGAAAGTGCAGAATGTGTTGTTCAGCAGCACCGCCTCTCTAACTCCGTAACCTTTGACATGCAGCGCGACACGCTAACCAACAGCCTACGCTCGGCACTAGGTAAATGTATATATTTATTTACACTGTGCTAATATTCTTCTAACGTGTTTGTGAAGTAATAGACTATTTAGCCATGGCCTATTTTTTTTTTCTAACTGCGCCTTGTGCAAAAATCAAAATGTTTTTATCAATTTTGAATTGATTCCAAAGGATTATTTTTGACAGTGCAGGATGAGGTGTGAACGATTTTTGAGCCCATCTTCTCAAAATAATGTGTTTGAGTGCTTAGACGCGACTAGAAACCTCCAGAGACTTTTATTTCATAAGTAACACTGTATGCAAATTCTTGGTTTTATAATAAATTACATTCATAGTTAAAGCTTACACTAATATGCAACCCAGTCTTCTGTACAGCAGTTTTTGTGTGTGTTTCGTGTGTGCGTGTGTGTGCCACATTGAGTATACTAGGCAGGGAAATCACCAGAGTTCCTAGATACTGAAACCTAAGCACACAATTATTTTATCTCTAAAAGCCTTGTAGAAAATAAATGTTTGCCTGACAGCTTAATTCTGATCTTAGTATTTTGCGTTATGACATTAAGGTTAAAACTCATTCAAGCTTTTGTGATCGGTACGCTTTTATGAAAAGAGTGCTGGCTCAAGTTAATAGCATGCCATAGTAAGACGCGATGCTGGTCGTTGTTGGTTGATCTAAGGGCTAAGCGCGTGCAGGACTGGAAGCTGAGATATCGTGGTTCGTGTCTCGTTATCGCCAAAAGAAATCGTGATTAGCACCATTCTGTCTCACAAGAGTAACCCAAGAGTTGGCGGTGGGTGGTGTTGAAAGTTGCACTCCCTCTAGTCTATCACTTTAAAATTGGGGGAGGGATAGCGCAAGTAGCCCTCGAATACCTTTGCGTGAAATCCACCAAAAAACTTTGACGTGAACTTATGTGCAGCTTATGTGAAAATATTGGATAAATGCTCAGTTTATAGTCACACAGATCTTCAAGCCCACTTACTAGCTTTCGTTATGCTAGAAGCGTTGTGTTTTTATTTGTCTTTGTAATTTAGTTTGTAACTGAAAAGAATGTTAGGTATTTAAACATTTTTTAATTATAATGGTTAGTTTTTGACTCTTTTTGCATAAATGTGTAACCCTTCAATTTGTTTAAGGTAGAAAAGGGTGCAATACCGCGTATGTAAACACTTCCCATGATAGTTGCTTTTTCATCTCACTGCTAGAAACGTTCGATAATTCAAGGGAACTAAATTTATTAGTGTATTTTTATTTATTACAATATTTTAGCAAGTATAATTGTATCTTAATTTGGAGTGACTTGCGTCGTTTTTTTTTTAAAACCGCAACACATACTGAGGGAAAATGTAAATAGCTTGAAATATATACAACATTATATGCACGTCAGTAAAAAAATATTTTGAAAATTACGAATCAAAATCATGTGAAACTTAAAGTACTTGTATACATTATTGTTAGTAATGTTTAATATTATTATTTCAGCTCTATGTAAACTCTGAATAGCGATTATATATTAAAATATAACTGTCTGCTTCTATTAAAGTAAATGTGGCAGTGACATCACTAGATTTCAAAGGACCCTGGATAAAAAAAAGTTTTGTTTTTACCCACACGTTGAAATTTTTCAGTGTTTCAAAATATCTTTCTCTCATTTCCAATATATAAAATCCCAAATACCAGTTTTGGTCGGCCTGTGTCCTAGAGCAGCTACATCACTATTGTTAGGAGTTTGCTCTTACTCTATGGTGAGAGTGTCTTGTGGTTTTCCCAAGTAAATACATTGATGTTACTGATCTAGTTTTGATATCATGATTTGTTTTTAACATTTTAAAATTTTCCATCGGGTTAGAGCTAATTTACATTATACCTATGTTGGTCAAAACTCTAACTTTTAAATAAATTGTGGAACTATTCCCCCGAACGTGGTTGAACCCACCAAGTGACATCAGTATTATATTGAACAGAGATAAGTGTGTATTATAGGAATCTATTCATTTGTACTGACTTATTGGGAAAAATACAGAAGTAAAAGACCTTGAAATTATGAAAAATGTGGTAACATAATCAAAAATTAAAAATGTAATTATTTTAATTTTTCATATCGAATTTTTTTTTACCTTAAAAAAGATAATTAGAAATGGATGCCTACAATGTGTCATAAGAAAAAGTTCCTACATTAATCAGAGGAAATAAGTAAAGTTTTTACTAAAAATGATATCGTGTATGAAAGA